GCTCTACACAGGTGCCCTGGGATGCTTTTAGTGCAGCTTCATTCCTCACTTCACAATATTTTTTGTAAGTCACAATTGTGTCACCTAGTATTAAAGAATTTTCACCAATACTTATAATTTATTTACCTATACTTAATTTATGTTAAAAATTAAAAGGACATACAATCTAGTATTTGCTTCTTTTTACATTATAATTTTTTATGCTTTAGAACATCTTCTATTGATTTAGTTTGGAAATATTAACTTTAAAGGCTTTAAAGCAGTTTTGAATGTTAGGCTGGCACATCTAGTTGGCAATATGAAATCAGCATAATACAAATATTCCATGTACTACACACCTTTTCACTTGAGGTGGTTTTAGAAACAAAACCCTACCACCAACCATAAATCCATCTATTTATATATGCTTTATCAATGACTATATATTTTGTGAAATCTTCCTGAAAAATAATACAAATATCCTTGACTTCCAAAGTGAAGAGCTTTTTTTCACTACAGAAATAAAAGTTTAAACTAGTTATGTCCCATACTGTCCCAAGTTTCCTGAGATATTGTAACAAAGTAAACTTTTTTTTTCTTTGTAGATTATACAATTTTTCCCACATTTGCCACAACTGTGGTTTTGAATAAAATAAGGTACCAGCTATGATGTGAAAATTAGGTCACTCTGTTAATTCAACCAGTTACATAGCACTTGAAATTAAATGGCTGAGAAGACACAACATCTGAGATGTATCCAAGTGATTGGTGTACAACAGAAAGGTGAAAACCCAGAATCCTTAAATCCAACCTGAGATTAACTGAGGAGAGGTTACATTTAAGAGGGAGTCAATTTTAAGATTAAGAATTCATTAGTTTAGGGCTGCAGTTGTAGCTCAAAGGTAGAGTACTTGTTTAGCATGTGTGAGGCACTCACTGGGTTCAGTCCTCAGCACCCACATAAAAAAATAAAGGTATTCGATGGCACACGAGTCCTCAGCTTGGAGGCTGAGGCAGGAAGATCATGAGTTCAAAGCCAGCTTCAGCAATTCTGAGGTGCTAGAGATAGACTCTATCTCTAAATAAAATACAAAATAGGGCTGGGGATGTGGTTCAGTGTTGCCCCTAAATTCAATCCCCAGTATCAAAAAAAAAAAAATACACTTCCAACTTGAACCAAACTCATTTTGCTTTCATGAGTCCTAGTCTAATGCATTCATTAAATGTAAGTATCCAGAACCTCTTCGGTTGTATACTCCAAGTGAATAATCTGGGGCCACCGTTCCACATCAAAATCAGAGAATTTCAAAGTACTCTCCATCTCTCTCACTTGTGGTCTATTTGAGTTGAAGGGCAAGGAATATGATGAAAGATAGCATACTGTAAATAACACATGATTTTTATCTACGAAAGTCTTAATATACATGCTGAATTGGAGAAAAGGAAAAAAAAATCTAGGCTACAGGTTGAGTTCTAGTACTCAAAAATGTCATGTACACCTAGTTTGTCAAAATCTCCAAATGATGTAGCCTTACATATGCCTTATAAGGAAAACTAGATGACAGTTCAATGTAAGTTCTGCTCTCCACCTCAAATCCTATGAAACTAGATAGTTTCAACTACCACTGACTGCAAAACTATGTACGTACTGGGTATAACCAGTGAATTCTCATCATTCAAGGAAGTTATTTCTGTAAAGACACCAATACTGAATGAGTAAATACTGAATTCATTGCGCCCAGAAAAAATACAGGGGGTAAGGTTCCTATGAGCCCCTCATGTAATTAACAGTAGATCAATATATAGCCTAGCTTTTTACATTGTTTCCATTAAGACACCTTATATATTAATTAACATTTAACTCACAGCTAACACCAGGATAACTCCTGTCTGGGGGCCATTCTGAACTGCAAAATCACCAAAGCTTACAAAAATGTGAACATGGCACCAGATAGATCACAAAAAGGGACATTTGGTATGATAGTCAAAAACAAGAAACCACCCATCTCATCCAGGAGAATGTCAGATGACTTGATTTTTGTTGCTCAACACATATCCATGAATGACTGTAGCATAAACAGCTATTTGGGGGTTGCAAATGATTTTTGTTCAGCTAGCAAATTTGTGAATACAGAATCCTCAAGTAATTGTTGTTTCCTCCTAAAATAACTCCTACAGAATCAATCATAAAGGTCTACTTTGCAGATTTGTTGGCCCCGCCCAGCAATCATGTAAACTTGCTACAACTAACACATTTCCCATAATACTTAATTCCAAACCACCATGTATAAAGCTGTCTATGCAAACCCTATCCATAACGCTTGTTTTGGGAACTTGTAGGGAACTTCACAGATTAAAAACTAAAAACTAAAGCCTATTCCTTTAGAAGTTCAAAACTGGAAACTTTGTACTAAAAATGTTGAGAAAGATGGTAACAGTCTCTGCCTTCCTTAAAGCACTTTAGTCAATCCTTCTTAGAAGTTTTCAGTGAACAACCACTCCCTCCAGGGTATGCCTACAGCAAGATTGTCCACTGGGTGCCCCGGTTTCAGCCAGAATAGGAGGGTTTAGGTTTGTGTATCTTTTGTTTCAAGACTTGGCAAATTGAAAAACATTCCAGGTCAAGAAGAATCATAAGGCTTCATCATGCATAGCTGTTACTGTCATAAACCAGGGTTTTAATTTTATTCAGAAGACCTGTTTCTAGCATGTCATGAGATAACCAGATATGCAACTGAGAAAGCCAACTTGCAGTAGTATGTAGAATGGGAGAGGGGTTAAAATCAAACCATTTTCAAAAATGCAAACTGCATGGGATCATTAGTTATATGCATATGTCTTGGGCCTAAGGGCAGATAATACACCCATCCTTGAAAAGAATGCTTAAAGCCAAGTCTAGCTTAACACTTAATATAAAAATTATACTAATTATACCATGTTATCTGTACCCTCTTCTCCAACAAATACAGTGTAGCCACTGTTACTGTTTCATCCCTTGTAAATAAGGGGTTAGCTAATTATCTTCTAGCATAGAAATCTCAAGTCATAAACTACCATAATTTCAAAAGTTAATGGGTCTTAATTTTTATAAATCAAATGTTAAAACCATTTAACAATATATATTGGCTCAAGGATTCATATGGAATTCTCAATCCATGAAATACATTACAGTAACTGGCTTTTTTACATATAGTACATTTTTTATGAAAGACTCTTATGTAACAGGTACTCCCATTTTTGCACCATTAAGATATTACCTATTTACACATGCTCATTACCAAGATAAATAAATTAAAATAAACATAACCATGCACTGTTTAAGGAATTTTTATTAAAGCAAGAATTTTATAATCCAAATTACGTTTCCTTGCTCAGTTATCAATTCTGTTACTTAAAACAGAACTGACATCCTGAGCTATTCCACAGTAAAGAATTACAAAATTAAAGAAAGGAATGCTTTAAATTTTTGTACTTTGCTGAAAATTCTTTTTCCCAGGGTCTATAAAACATTAATTTGTTTTTATATTTTACTATTTTTTTGTGATTTTTTAAATTTTTTTTTGTTGTTGCAATCAAGTAATCTAGGACTAGCACTGTTTGCTAGACCTGGCATTTGCTCGGTACATAAGGTTCAAAGTTTCCTTTCCTTTTTTTATTTATTTTATATTTTGCAATGTTTTTTTTCCATAATATTTAAGTTTTTCGATGTTTAGATAATTTTTCTTCGGTGAAGCACGAGTTTCTTTTCGTGGTCCCTGATCAAT